TGATCCGAACTACATCACACGTTTAGGAGTGAGGCGGAACTGATAAGTCCTGTGTGAGGTTGTGCTTCAAACTCATCCGAGCTATAAACGAAGGCAAAGGCAGATGGGGAGCTATCGAAGTCATGATTTGTGGAGATGTTTACTTCGAAAGCGATCCCCTGTGGCGTCGTTGTCCCTTCCACGTGATACATCGGAGGGATGTGGTTCCCATTGAGACTTCCCAGGAGCCGAGGGTTGTGGTTCGGATTCATCCGAAGTACATCACACGTTCCGTAGTGAGGTGGAATAAAAACGTCCAGCCTAAGAATTGCATAACCCCTTGTGGGAGACAAAGAACACCAACAAAAGCCATGAGTGGTGGATTGTCATGGACAGGGGGGTCGCAAAACTCCCAATGGGGGGACGTTGAGTGAAAGCAATGGGTTGGACGTAAGGGGGGCATCGTCTTCCAACCAACGACATCACGAATGGCATCCACTATTGCCTTCATCCCGAGCTCAGATGAATCCGAACTCCGTCCGGAACAAGCGACACTAACGGCACTCTCGCGCTCCCGCTGCATTCCCGCGCATGGCCCCCTAAGTTGCTCTGGAAAACGCGGCTATAATTAATTGGAATCGAAATGTAATCGGCATGGATCGAGAGCTGATCGTTCCACGAGGTCATTGGTGCGTTCATTCAACACAGATTTTGACACTTTTGTCATCGCACGGATTGTCCACGTCAGAGTTCGCCCAATACGAATCGTGGTGAGGGGACGGGCTGCCGCACGGGTGGCGGTGCTGTGACGTTTTCGTGTGTGCGCGATGGAACTTGTCAGCGCTAGTTCCATATCCAAAATGTTGCCGATGCGTGTCCAGCGTGTCGGCCCCGGTTGCGTGGCGGTTCCTCATTGCTAGCTGCGTGTGCGACGATGGGCGATGAGTCTTGGATATGTCCTGTGGGCCTCCGCATATGAGTGGTTCGCGCAATCGTTCCGACCAAAGGTAGACAGGGAACGTTCAGGACAACCAGAACAAGATCCTGATGTCGTCCACAACCGCAATAGACATGTTGAATCACCAAGTCGATTGGAAACGAGCTCGAAGTTGGCCCTTGGCGATGGGATGTTGCAGGATTGGCGGTAATCTGGGATGTTGTGGATTCGCCATGGGTCTCAGATGTGTGCGACGGGTCTTCGCTAAACGTTGTGGATGGGTGGCTTCGCCACTGTTGGCTGTGCGTGCGACACGGGCGATTCCCGTTGGAGGTGCGCGTTTGACGTCAGGCTTCCGGCGCAGCCCTTCGCTATCCTGGACATGGGATGATGTGATCAGCGCTGCGATAACACATCATCCGATAAACGTCAACACCTCTCTGGAGTTGACGTCTATCGGATGATGTGTTATCGCAACGGTGATCACATATCGCCACAACTATGATCAACTTTCAGATCCCGTCCACCCATCTCCGGTGTTGACGTCTATCGGATGATGTGTTATCGCAGCGGTGATCACATATCGCCACAGCTATGGGCTGTGTGGACGTCCGTACGTATACGGCCCGTACGTACTCCCATACGACCGTACGTACGGCACCCCAGCTATGCATACGGGCCGTACGTACGGACTTCTGGCCGTCCGTACG